TTTTGATACTGCAGGAAATGCAGGCGAGTGAGCAGGAAAATGCTCAAAACACGCCACGTGCAGAGGTAGCCGGAAATGTGTGTGTCGGGTCGTGCGGTGAAACAAAAAATACCGAAGATGTGCTCTGCAAATAAACCTTGTTATTGTTATTATTATTACAAAATACAGGTATGGGAGATGGTCCTACATGCCGTTCTGTCCGAACTAAACCCTTATAGATTTCTGAGAGGAATCCTAAATAATAATTTAGATGTCTGAAGCTCAAAGATATCTGGAGAAAAGTCTCGAACTATTTTGGCGTGTGCAACTTGAAAAATGATTTAATAAAATTGAAGACTTCATGAGCAATCTTTTAATATACCTAACAAAGGAGCGTGTTTTTAATTAAACATGACTTCAGCTGTCGTATCTTCGATGCCTCTTGGCACTACAAGTGCAAGAAATGAACGTATAGACAATTATGTCAAATTAGGTATGTTTTTATATTATTAATTATTTAAAGTGAGCACCGACGTCCCGGACGATAATGAGGCATTGATTAAAGACAAAGAAAATGCCATTTTAGAACTTGGCGCTTATTATGCCAAAGAAAAGAAAGCTAAAGGTTTGTGACCTTACAAATATCCTTTTGCCATTTTGCCTATGAATTTATATTTTGTGGGCCTTTAACTTTGTTTTTGAGATGTCGTGCTATGTATATAACGCACCAGACATATATGTCTGGTGAGAGGACGTTCTTGGATATAAATGAACCGTTTACTGTCGAGCGTTGGCGACCGACTATATCAAGGAAGACAGTCAAGCTTATATGCATCGAAATTTGAGTAAACATTTAGTATTGCCTACTGGGTTATTGGTTATTATCTTGAATGGAATTATACTGAAAAATTAAAAGGTTAAGAATTCGCAGTGTTTTCTTGGTCAATGTGGATCTTATCTTCGCTTCCACTTAACGTTGCGCTAAGCAAATGGCATGCAGTCTTTCGTAGCCGCACCAAACATTCCAACATATTTAGCCGAGTGAAATGGTGGAAGACATTAGCATTTTGAGAGTCGTCATATTTTTATTTCCTTCGTTGAAAAAGGGAAGTGTTTTAAATCATTGAATCGTGGAGCAAGGGAGAATTCTGTTGTGCTACCGTATGATCATCCGTAGTTTTTTCTTGCGTTTTAGTTGACCATTGGAAGCTGGCTTTCAAATGCGGTTTGCGTTTTTCCACTTGAATACATTTGTCTTTGAAGGTTCTGCAGCTGTGTTGCATTTCTGTCTGTCCGAGGATGTGTAACAGACTTCGTGCCCATATTATAAATGGTGACAAAAATTTCACGTGGTAAACACTGCGATCGGAATTATGCATTTACCAATGAATACGGCGACTGTCGTCAGAGTTATAAAGATCGGTCAAAAAAGCCTGAGGTGGCAATTTCAGGCCCGTTCGCGTGCGCTCTCTCTTTCTCTCGTCGCACAAGACTGTGAAAACAGTAGTCTAAGCTCTGAATTTGTACGTTTTCATTACTATTTCAATACGAATCCACTCTTCACCTACAATCTGAAATAAGTATCGTTCTAGTGGCTCCTCTGTACTTACTGTTCAGTTGCTTCCATGTATCGTTTCTGCTTTGCTACTCGACCGCCTATGTGATCTTGTGGACTAATAGGTAAAACAGGCTCAATGAGCACTGTTCCCACCACCACACTGTTTTGTTTCCTTTGCCGCGAAAGCCACAACTAGCAACATAATTTTGTATCTGTACATCACACTAGAAGCCTTGCCGAAGTTCGCCTTCACAACTTTCGTCCACTTTCAAACCTGATTGCTACAATGAGGAGTACTTCGGGGCTTGAATAAGTGATGCCGAAATCCAGTTTGCAGTGAGCCATCAGGAGAGTGACCGCATCGATCACGTCTTTTGTCACAAGCGAGCCGTGCTCTTGGTCGACCTTGTGGTTCCGCGTTAGGTATATGGTGC